ATGTCTGTAATTTGGCATCTGAATGAAAAAATAATGTGCTATTTGAAATTCATGGATAATAACAATAATTATATTTTAGTTACAAAAAAGTAATTTCAATCAAAGAGCTACAGAAACAGAACTTAATTTTTGATAATTACCAGTACTGTTAATTTATGGCAGCTGTTGCATAAACCTTACAGTGTGTGGTTATGTGATTAATTTTTTAAGGACTTACCATTAGCTAACTTCTAACTCTGGTCTAAAAAATGTTTCTTTGATTCATATATTAAAAGCCACAGGTGGTAGTGATCCTACCAGGCATGTAATTTGTATGCAGAAACCCTGGATGTTGGTATGTCAGTATTAGTCAGCAGAGCCAGTATTGAGCCAATGTAGTGCTAATTGTCACTTTTATAGTTTAATACAGCTGAAACTGCGTTTAACGGTGATGTTTTCAAATGTGAAGCATGTATTGGTATGCAGTGGTACTGTTTTATAGCAGAGATTACTCAGTATCTTATCACAGGCTTTCTTTTTTATATGTCTAGGCCTGAATAGGTCATTGTTCCTCTGACTCCCTGTTGAAGTCTTTCATCAGATGTAGTCACGCTGACTGCTTACTTACTACAAGATCCATGGTAGTAACATTAAATGGTTTATAGGGAGAGGGAGAACTAATCAATGAGATCACATGCAGTAACCTTCAAATTAATGAAACCTGCACTCGTCCTCCTCTGGCAGCTCACAAACTTGTGATTTAAGTCAATTTAATTTGGTACACTTATTTGTATTTCCACTGTTTGTTTCGTATTCACTAGTCATGTCACAGGGCAGGCAGTGGCATCGTTATCAGTCACCTCCCCCACATAAACACACACAGAGGCTGTACCAAAGCCTCACACTCCAAGTCAACCACAACTGGCAAGAAAATGAGTTTTAGAGAGGAGAGATGACGGCTTCCTAAATGGCTCTTCATTGTTTGCTACAATCATCCACCAGCTTATGAGCTGGTTTATGCAGCGTTTTGAATGCTTGTCAAAAGTGTATTGAGATGGGGAGGACAACGCCGCCTGACAGCCTCTGAGACAAGTTGGCAGTTTTCATCAAGTGAGGAATCAGTGTGAACAGTCAGATGCCGAAAAGGAGTTATGTCATAACAACAGTCGTTTTCTCTCCAGAACAAATGGAGTTGGAACAGAATAGCAGCAAACCACACAGAGTTAGGACAAGCACATTAATCAGAATTTAGTATGAGGCAAATACAAACAAACCTGCTGAACTCAGGTTAAGATGCAAAATACAGGGAATAGCATTTCATGTTTTGTTTTATCTGCATCGTGCAGTGGAGGAGATCAGAAAGAAATCACCTCGTACAACTAAAAAATCACAGTACTTCACGAGTCCATCACCACCTTTGTCTTTGCTGCTGAACCTCTACAACCTCGGGACATCAACATAAAACCCTCATGTTTGTGTGTCTCCAGGTGAATCTAGGGAGTCACCAGTACCTGTTCACGGTTGACGCGAACCCATCCGAAATGCCGTGCCTCTGCCTCCGACATGACGTGGACGCTCTCGTTTGGCAGCCTCGTCCTGATCAACCCGGTAACATGTGGGAGCACATCGCCACATTCAATGCTTTGGGTAAGAGTTTAAAGTTGCAACACTTACTCTGTGAATTTGCCTCAATTATAGACCCACTAAACCCAAACACATAAGGAACACCTGTACAATTATCCTATGAGGCTACAGTGTAATGCATAAAATGCAGATGAAGGTCAGGGGTTAATGTTCACATCAGACATCTGAATGAAGGTAAATCTCATCTGTTCTCTCATGGTTGTTGGTAGTAGACAGGCTGGTCTGATCCAAAATGCTCATTTGTTGTTTGCCACAACAGTCTGTAGAGCTAACGTGGGATTATATAAGGGGCAGTTCTGCTGAAAGGAATGCTTTGTTGATGAGAAGATGAGAGGAAAGCTCTTCATCTGTGCCGATCTGAAGTCTGGAGACAGATGGGCCAAGCAAGCAGAAGAAGACCTCAATTCTTGTTGGCAAACAATAGAAATTTGTGGCCACAGGAAGCACAGACTCATAGAAACTGTACAAATACTGGAGAGAACGCATCCTGATCTGGTAATTCTGAATTTCTGTCCCAGACTGCAGATGGTAGTCACTTCCCCTCGACAGCATGAATCCTTTCTGAACCAGCCTTCCTTGTCTCAGCAGTCCAGACTGCTAGTGTCAGTAGGTCTGTGATGGCGTGGAAACTTTTCTTGTCACACTGAACACCAGCCACAGCCTATCTGAGTGCTGTCGCTAACCAGCTGCATCCCTTTATGGCCTCAGTCTGGGGGCTTCCAGCATGACTATAAACAATGTCATAAAGCGAATTGGCTAAAAATGAGTTCTGAGATCTGTCATGGATTCCCCAGTCACTGTAAAGGAATCCAATAAGATGTGGTAGGATTTGAGGCTTTTAGCTGCCAGTGTACAAATCTGCAGTCTCAGTCAAAAGTGAAACCTAATTTATGCCCCCCTGGACTCAGGTCTGTTACATTGCCTCTGCTACAAAGTTTCCTGTTAACCTTTTTTTTTATTATTTTAATTTTGGGCAAAGAGAGCAGTTAAAGACATGCAGCAAGGGACAGCAGGTCGGACTCGAACTTCAGCCACTGCTTTTGGGCCGTAAGGCATACGGGCACCTGGTCAATCAGTAAACTGTACTGGTGCCCATCCTTTTTAGCCATTTAAGAGTGTTTGTAGTTTGAGAATTGACTGGATATTCAAAGCTTTTTCCTCTGTTTGACTTTCTGCCTGCCTCATCTGCTCAAAAAAGAAAAATAAGGCTCGGAACATATTGTTAGAGGAGCAAAGATCTGCCTCTGAAATGTGCTGTAGTCACAGTTTGGTCCAGCGGCTTCCCCCAGTGGGCTTCCAGCATTAGTGAAGATGGTTGAAACCCTGAGATCATCTCCAGGATCAAAACTGGTCACAAAGGCAGATTTTTGCAAATATCTATTTTTCATTTTGTAGCAGCATAGTGCTTTTTTTCCAATTATTTTTTAAAAGTCAGGTCAAGGCTCCAAAAGCCCAAAGGCGATATAAGGATGGCGGCTCACAACAGTTTTTGTTGCTACATGGATCCTTTTAGTTCAGCTGGGTGTTTTTCGTTTTGTTATATTTCTTTAAGAGTTCAACATGTGTTAATTACATAAATAAAATAGCACTTCATGGATTTCATAAGCAACACACCTTAGTTGTTCACACAAAGCATAAAGGTAAAAAACAATATATACAGTGTTATCTTCATTTTAGATGTCAAAAAGTATTTGCGGCTCCCAGTGTTTTCTTTTGCGTGGAAACCGGGTCCAAATGGCTCTTTGGGTGTTAAAGGTTGCTGACCCCTGCATTAGACTGTTAAAGCCATCCCCTCCTATTCCTCGGTGTCAGCATCTTAAACCAAGTCAGCTCTATAGGAAAAGTATGGGCCCGAAAGCTGGACATCACCAGTTTGAGTCACCACTGAAGTGTTTTTTTTTTTTTTCTTTTATGAAGGTTTGGTTCATTAAATTTTTTTCAAATCGATAAAGAGATAACAGAAACAAGTTTTAAACTCAGACTTTCTCTTACTAGGAAGTCTAACAACAGTGCCCTGGCTACATTTAAGAAGTGAAACCTTGAACTGTTGTCTTGGAACTATTTTTCTACCTTGATCGGACACTGAAAAAAAACAACAACTGATAAGTTATTCAAAATAAAATTCTTTGCTGGGTCCTAATAAATTGTTTACTATTCAGTTTACACAAAGTGGTGTTGATGACAGGAAGTACAAATTGAACCTGGTTTTACAAATATTAGGTTCAAAGCAGAAAAAAGACAAATTCTTTGAAACTGAAGGCAAACAGGTCCCAGCATTTGTAGTTTTATACTAAATCTTCATACAATAGCGCTGCAGTGAATCTTTAACAGTTGCTGAGTTTCCGGTTTTCAGCACATCTTTCATGATAACACACTACAGCGCCTTTTAAGCCTAACAAATATGGTTATGTTGTCAAACCAACACTGTTTGCAGCCATTTGCCACTCGAGAGGAATAAATGTTGCTTCCCAGGCGCTTCTCGGGCCTGTTAACATTAAAACAACCTCCAGCTGTGTGTGAGAGGCAGAAACTGGGACGATGGCTAGCCAGTAGCTTCGGCTTTATATAGAGCTGGGCGATATAACGATAACGATATGTATCGCGATATAACTTTTACTCGATAGAGAAATTAAACTATCGCGATAGACCTCGCCGCTCTTGTCCTCTTAAAAAAAAAAAAGAAAAAAAAAAGTCATCCAATCCAAATTAAGTAGCGCAGAGCCGAACCAATCACAGCCGCAGCGTCACGTCACGTGACTTGTTACGTACAGCACAAGTGCCAAGGCGCACGTGCGTATTTGTTTGTGAAGCAGCTAACCGCCGTGTCGACTGGGTGATGGAGAAAATGAGTGCACCAAGTAGAGAAAAATCAACCGAGAGAACGGAAGAGAACACAGATGACAGCTCGAATGCCGAAGAGATTGTCGAAAGGAAGGGCCGGAAAAGTTCCGTAGTGTGGAGATATTTCGGCTATTTGAAGTCCGACAAAAAACAGAGTAGCACGCACTGTAAGTTGTGCCGACAGCATGTTCCCACCAAGACTGGAAATACAACTAACCTGTTTCATCACCTGAAGCAGTGCCACCCACAAGAGCACGCTCAATCTCTGACTGAAAGTGCTAATTTGTCATCGAAAACAACCGGGGGAATCCCTGCGAAGCAGCAACAGTCAATTGAGTCGGCTTTCTCCAGCGTCTTACCATATGACAAAAAAGCTAAGAGACATAGCGACATAACGAATGCCATAGCCTACTGTCTTGCTAAAGACATGCTACCAATAAACACGGTCGAAAATGAAGGATTCAAGCAGCTAATTAAGGTACTTGGATCCTCGTTACCAACTCCCTGGACGTAAACATTTCTCTCAGATAGCGCTT